TGTGTTGATGTGTGTGTGTGTTGATGTATGTGTGTGTTTGTGTACGTGTTGAGAGAGAGAAAGAGGGGGGAACATAGTGTGTGATCAGTAAGTGCGGAAGTGTGTGGGGCAGGAAGTTCTGGGGGTGGGGGTGAAGAACTGAACACAACACGAAAGACATCGACTTCTGGTGGAACGGTCGGAGACTAACGGAAAAGGAAAGCACTATTCCCAGCGACTCTGGGAAAAAGCCCAGAAACTATTCTCAGTGACACTGAGAACAGACAGGCCCATTAGATCTATTGTTCCCACACTGATGTACATGGGTACGATGGTGATGGGTTACTAAATACTAGACTAGACTGTATCTAATGTAGATCTAGATTTTAGATCTATCTAAACTAAAATAGATTCTGGTATGAGTGGAAGAATTTGTTTAAGAAAAGGAATGGTCATTCTATGCTTGCTTGTTATTCAGTCGTAATTTAAATGTACGTGTAGATGTAGGTCTAGGTCTACATACGGATTTTGGAGACCACGGTAAAGGACAGGTAGAAATCCTTCCCGATTCTTCTTCCTTCTAGTTCTAGATCTAGATCTAGATCTATACCATGGTCAAGTCTAAGCAGTAAGTAAGAAAAGAGAACAAAAGTACTGAACTGAAGAGAGAAGAGAGTCAACAGTGCAAAGACTTCTGATTTTTCTATGAAAAAGAGTTCCGTTGTTACTGGGAATAGTTTCTGTACCTATCCCCAGTGTCACTGGGAATACTCACTTCCAAAATTAATGTGCAGTAGTCTGGGTCACTTGAGACGAGGCAATATAATCTACGCTCTAAGAACGCCACAGATCAAGAAACCCAACCGCATGAAAAACGGGCATTCTCAATCAACTCCATCTGAGCTGCAATAATAGTTATTGCTGCGAGCGTTTGGTTTGTTAGCGCGATAACAGACACATGAAACCACGATCAGATTAGGATCAAGATAAGCATGAGGAGAAAAAACAAACCCATCAACCCAACTAAACAACAAAACATCAACAACAAAGAAACGGTATGGGCAAACCACACAAACAACCTAACACGTCACTCATGACAACGCGCTTTGTTTGGGTTGTTTGAGTAACGAGAAGGACATCGACACATTACCGGTCATGTAGTGCTGGGGAAAGGTAAGACAGACACACAGACAGACAGTTTAGTTTTAGTTAAAGTTTTACGGCACTTGCAACACGACAAGGTCATATAAGTGCCGAAGATTAGAGGCGTTACGAGAGGGTAGCAAACACAGAAAAGAAGTAGGAGAGATCAAGACGATAGATGTTTGATTGGAAAGAAGGAGCAAACCACACCAGAGCACCCGCCAACCACCCGCACAGACAGACAGAAACAAGAAAGCGATAGTAAAGAAGTAGGACCCACCAGTGGAGCCCTCCAAAGAAGTAGGACCCACCAGTGGAGCCCTCCAACCACCCACGACAACGTGCTGATACGGTACAAATATCGTCACAATCCTGGTAGTGAAGGGCAAAGAACGAGCACAAAAGGCAACCCCCCCCCGGACACACACACACACACACACACACACACACACACACACACACACATCGCACTTAATAATAATAATAATAATAACAACAACAAAAATAATAATAATAATAACAATAATAATAATAATAACAATAATAATAATAATATACCACTTACACTGCACATCACCATCTTCTAAAAACACCCAATACGCAGTACGTTCAAAAACATTATATCAAATTTTACTTGGCAGATGTCCACGTAGAATATAATATTATGACAATAAACGGGCAGGGAGAAAAAGACATGGAGGAAAAAAAGACACGGGGGAAAAAAGAGCAACGTTGCTATCGACGGTAAATGAAGAATTTTAAAAAAGCGGCCAGACCACAGGCTAAAAACGGTACAGAAATTCGATCAACTCAGGAAAGACCTCCCCGTACACTGCCGGGTTCATCAGTAGAATCAGATAGTTTCTGGTATAATAATACGCCAGCCAAAGCGTGAAATGACAACGTCAAAGCCAACACGCGGAAGCCCACTAATTTTACGATTGACTTTTCATTAGACTTGCAGCTGGAAGAAAGAAACAAACAAACATACCCAAAGAAAAAAACAACCCAAATGAAATAACCCCAGTTAGTTCAAAAAGCTCTATGACTGTGTATTACTTTTGCTTAAAAAAAAACCCCTAATAACCCCCCCCCCCCAAACTAACAGCAAAAAGGGCGCGTGTAAAAAATCAGGCATAGAAAAATGTTTGAGATTTCTGCCCTCAGATGCTGACCTAGACTCTTCCATTATTTAATTCTTTCTTCTTTTTTTTCTTTTCTTTTGTTCCAGATCGACGCCTTTTAGTCTTATTAATTTGCTCAATGTTAGTCTATGCCCCACAGCATGAATACTACCGTAGCAACTTGTTTTTATGTTATTTTTTTTCTTGCGATATATTTTAAGCATTAAACACTTCTGAAAATTCTCCGGATGAGTTTTCCATTCTTGTTGGGGTACTTTAAGAATAAATCCTACTGAAACAGCTTCGGATGATTTTTTTCATTCCTTTCGATAAATAAATATATATGCTTTATGTTCTTTTTATTTGAAGTAATGCAGCAGATTAAAAAAAGAGTGCCTAATTTTTTTCTTCTTTTCCACAGGCAAAATCTGCAGCTTACATCATAGTATTCTATTCCGTCAGCCTGCTATTCAAGTGCTCAGGTCTACAGACTTCGGCAAGGATCGTACAATTCAGTCTTTGCCCTGACCTCGCAAACCCCGCGCACGAGCTCGCAAACTCTGTCTCTGATCAGCAAAACACGCACATGGCACCATAAGCCACGCCCACAATCTCACAAACGGTGTCGACGGGCCCTTAGACCCCGCCCACGAGCTCCCAAACAACCCTAACCCTAACCCCAGGAAATAAAAACGACGCTTTACGCCCAAACACACACACACACACACACACACACACACACACACACACACACACACACACACACACACACACACACACACACACACATACACACACACACACGCGCGCACGCACACACACAAACAGGGATAGATAGATAGATAGATAGATAGATAGATAGATAGATAGATAGATAGATAGATAGATAGATAGATAGATAGATAGATAGATAGATAGATAGATAAAGAGAGAGAGAAGTATAGACACTCACAGACAGAGACAAAGACAATCAATCAATAAACCAATCAATCAATCAAGCAAGCAAGCAAACCAAACAACTAACCAACCCACCAACCAACCAACGAACCATGTGCACAAACAACAACCACAACAACACCACCAGCAGCACCACCGGCACGGGGTCCGCACCAGACTTCCAGCTCTCCCACGACCTGCGTGTGGTGCACGCCGTCTGCGCCTCGGCGCTCGCACTCCTGGGCACCACGGGAAACCTCGTCTCCGCCTACCTCATCTGCAAGGAGGGCCTGTGCACGCGCTCGCCTGCCATGATGCTCATCCTGAACCTGTGTCTGGCCAACCTGGTGAGCACCACGATAGCCCTGCCCATGATCGCGCTCAACACCATGAGCGACGGGTGGATCTACGGAGACATCGTCTGCAAGGTACGGATCTAAAGTAGCTATTTATTATTTATTTATTATCTTTGGCGAGCCGCTCACAGCAGCTTGCAGTCGGAACAGCTGTACCGGTGAGCCGCTGGGTGCGGGTTGGGCACATTCCTTTACGACGACTTCGACGTTATAATAATTTTCGGCAATAAGCAGGCCTCATTTATCGTGAGTATTTTTTATTAGATTAAGAACTACCAAAAACAGGTTTATTTGTTTTGGTTTAGAGACCAATTTAGTGACCTAAATATATAATATGTCAAATGTAGGTTTGGTACCAAATGAGGGCTCCGGCATAGAGAGGGAAAACGCCCCCCAGAGAGAGAGAGAGAAAGCTTGCTTGTTTGTTTTGTTTGAGTAAAAGAGAAGCACATTGATACAATTACGGTCGTTTAGCGCTGAGAAACAGAGAAACAGACACACAGACACAACAGAGGGAAAGTAAAGAAGTAAAACCTACCAGTGGCGCCCTCCAACCACCCGCACTGGTCGAGGTATGTGTATTGTACGTGTATCCGGGTAAACGTCCCTCTAAACACTCTCATGTTACTTAATACTGGCAGCTTATTGCATAACGGATTGGGTTGATTAATGGCGGCTTCAGTTCACATTACGAACAGACCCCTCCCAAGCTGGGTCAAAATTGACAAACAACGGAAAACTTGGATCGGCGCGCGGTGTTATAGTATACAAAAACTTACCACTCACAACACAGCCTTCCTACTATCAAACATCTATCGTCCTTATCTCATCTATGGTACGTAACTTTATAATTTGTAATGATTTCTTTTCTTCCTAATATGCCAGCTTCTCACTCGCCTTCCCCACCAAACACACCTTTATTCCCTCCCCCCTCCTCCGATTTATTCGGCTATGTCCAGCATAGAGGCTATAATATACTCTATTCTGTCGATGAATGTTACAGCCCACTTTATCTAGTTTTTGTAAGACAAGGCACGAACTCGACAATGAATGAAAGAAGACTTGCTTACTAAGGAAAGAGAGTTCCAAATATGGGGTTTAAAGTTACTTTTACCAAAAGGGCAAATGTCTACAATTACTTGTATTCCTCTGCGATTACTATCTATTTATTTATTTATTTAAATACATTCTTTTATCATTTTATTTATTAATTTATCATTTGATTTATGTCTTATTCATTTATTATCTTATATTTATTTACATATATTTCATTTATTTATAATTTTATTTATTATTCATTATTTCTAAATCATTTAAATAATTACTGAATGTATTTTAAATTTCTCTGCGGCTCTTCCCCAGCTGTTCGGGTACGTGGTGTACGTGGCCATCACGGCGGAGGTGCTGATCCTGTTCAACGTGACGCTGAGCCAGTACCTGATCGTGGTGCACCACGTCACCGACCGGGACATCCTGGGCCGGAACCGGCGCCGCAACCTCTTCCTCATCCTCATTTTCCCCTGGGTCCTGGGCCTGGCCGCCTACAGCCTGCCGCTCGCCCAGGTGTGGGACGAGTTCGGGTTCGAGCCGTACCGCGGCTACTGCACGCTGCTGAACCCCGACGGCCTTACCGGGATTCGGTCGGTGTTGGCCGTGCTGGTGATCGTGATGATGGTGGTAGAGTGCTGCTACTGCTACCCGGCCATCTTCTGGGTGCAGTACCGCTCGCACAGGAAGACGGCCACGTCTGTGCTGGAGGCGGCCAACACTTGGCGGGGGAGGCGGCGCCACGCGCAGGTGGTCAAGATGATCATGGCGATCATCGCCAACTTCGCGTTGACCTACGTCCCGCTGCTGGTGATCTCCGTGACGGACCCGTGCCTGGAGAGGGTGAGCCCAACGATCTTCACGGTGGTTCTCTACGTCTCCTGGTCGCACACGGCCAGCAACCCGCTCATCTACGCCCTGCTGCACCACCGCATCAACGCCCTGTGGAGGAAGCACGTGCTGCTCTCCAGCTGCTGCCGTGGCGGTCGTGGCCGCGGGAAGAAGGCCGTGGGAGCGGGTCTGGCCGTGTTGGAGAACATGACCGCGGCCATTCTCAAGCGGCGCACGCCACAACCCTCCGGGGAGGACTCCAACGACGTGCACACCGAGATGTTCGCGGAGGAGGAGGAGGAGGAGACGGAGAGGGAGAGGGAGAGGGAAAGGGAAAGGGAGAAGAAGGGGAGGATTATAGGAGTAGGAGAGGACAAGAAGGAGAGAATATTCGAAGGGAGAGCTAAAGGAGTGGGCGAGATGGAGAGAATGTTAGGAGCAAGAGGGGGAAAGGATGAAATGGATAAAATATTACGAGGAGAAGGAAAGGGAGGAGAGGACAAGAAAGAAAGAACATTACGAGAAGAAAAAGAAGGAGGAGAAGGAGGAGACGAAAAAGAAAGAATATTAGGAGGTGGAGTAAACGAGGAGGAGGTAGAGGCGTGAAAAGTATAAAAAGACAAATAAATAACGCAGAACTTGGGTTGGAAACATCTAAGACCTACCAATAGCAACCTCCAACAAACTTGCGACAGGGAGGTGATCGTAATTGTTTCACACCCCTATCCTTAAAATTTAAATAACTTCGGAGGTGGGCTTCCGACCCTGCCTGTCGGGGCCAACCCGGGCTAAAAAGGAAACAACACCTCTGCAGAAAGACAGAGACACTGGATAAAAATTTTTCCCAGTCGGACATCGAACTCCAGTCTCCTGCGTGAGAATGAGAGCGCATAACCGCTACACCACAGACGCCGGTCTACTACAGCAATCTTGAACAAAGACGGAGATACTCGACAAAGTAGAGCCATCCCCCACCCTTACCCTTCGAATTGGGAACCGAACTCACGCCTTTCGTGCGCCACGGCGTAGAGCTGAACAATGAAAGTATGTCTCCTTATGTGCGACGGTTTTCACCACCCTGGCTACTTGACCAGATAGGGTTGGTTCCTCGCACTGCTGGCTGTGTGACTAGAATGTGTTTTTAAACATTCGTATATATGCAATCATAAAGTAGCGCGTGTCTCCGAAAGACGATGTGACAGATCTCGCACCCCCACCCACCGTGCAAACTGAACAGGCGGAGGGAGACCAAAGAGCAACAAAAAGCACACTATATAACAGGATGCTAGATTAGTGGAAGGTCTACCGTGATGTTTCCGGTTTTGGTTGAAGGTCTACCACCGGAGCAGTCCGATAAGAGGTTTAGGCGAGGTTCTACCGCGGCCTTGGGACAGTCACTGGCTATCCATATTAAACATATGTTAGCGGTTGTCGTTTTTTTTTTCTTTCAGAGTGGGGGGGGGGCCCGGGGGCGGCGAGAGCGTGAGTTTGGGAGGGGGATTAAGGTAGGGGGGGGTGGCACCCCCTCCCCCTCCCTTGACTTCTTGAAAATAGTCCCGTCCGGTCAATTGCTGTAGCCACTTATTTGTCAATCATAAACTTTACCACCGCAAAACACTTTGATCTTAGCGACACCACAACATGAAGCAATCTCCACACCCACGTGGACCACTTGTAAATGCTACCACCATTGATCTAAATGCCCCCTGCGCTGTCGTTACCGGGGCCAATCGGGAGGGACTTCTTAGGCAAAATTAAGCGTGTCGTATCCCAGCAGACGGCGGTCGATTGAGCGGGACTTAATTAAGGAAGATCGCCGTAGCGCGGTAGACCTAAACGAACCCGGCACCTATAAATCTGTATGCGCCGTGTGCTCCCCAGGAAGTTGCTATTGTTTCAGAATGCTATCAGGTCTTCTGAGGTAATGATATTATTACCGATTATAAAGCGCACAGAGCTGCTGTCGAGCTGGTATTTGCACTATTGAAATGCTTAAAATATTAATTTTTTTTTATCTATGTCTATGGTGTACTTATACATCATACACACATTAAGCAGGTTTAGGTAGGCAAATCGCCTGCTACAAGCCGCATGACCCTGCAAAGTTATTGATCACAATAGGGCCTTTTTGTGTACTCATCTTTATACGAATGTGTTTTGCTCAAGGAGAATGTGTGTGAGGGATATGTTGTTAGTATTATGGAGAGAGAGAGAGAGAGAGAGAGAGAGAGAGAGAGAGAGAGAAAGAGAGAGAGGGGGGGCTGGGATGGAGAGAGTGAGAGGCAAGGTGTGAATATGCATGCGTATATATTATAACTATGTGCGTGGGTGTCTGACATATGCATATATTATATATCGAATCTCTGAAGAATGAAAGTCTCTTCTCCTTCATGCCAAATCAACTTATTTATCCATAAAACAGACCTTTGCACTGTTTTCCGTCTTTTTTTAATGTCGGTGATTTCACGCTCCCATCGACACAATTTAGATAATTTAGGAGGCGGGCGCCTGTCAGGGCCAACCCGGCATTAGAGGGATGGAACATCCCAGCAGAAAGACCGAGATACTCGATAAATAATTAATTTCTCCCCAATCGGGGAATCGAACTTGGGTCGGACCTCCTGCGTGCGACAGCCAAGTTCCCTACCGCTACACCACAGACACCGGTACCTTTGCTTTTCTCTAGACACGTTTTGTAAATGCCAGCGCCCAAAAAAAAAAGAAAAAAAAAAAGACACACACCCGATCTGAGCTTTCTCTCGCCATTGTGATATCCCCCCCCCCCCCCCAACCTCTTTCACCCTCTTCCCGTTCACCAACTCATTGTACAATTATCGTATACTGCGTCTTTATCACCAGATTCTGAATTAAGCCATGAATGCGCAAACAATAAATAAACTATGAAAAAATACTTACTTACGTTTTATAAATTTTTCGCTTAGTATGTTTTATTGGCAATGGCAAGGGAAAACATAGAAAACAGAAATACAAAGAAAGAAAGGGGAAAACAGAAAAGAAAGAAAGAAAACAGAAACAGAAAGAAAGAAAGAAAAAGAAGAAAAAAACCACTTTATGTGTCCCCATTAGTTAGGAAACCTGTTTTGAAAGGCCAATTCATGAAATCAGGTTCCGTTTAGTTTTAGTAACAGTTTTACTGCACTTGCAACACAATGAAGACATAATGGGAGCCGAGGATTAGAGGTGTTAAAAAGGAGTTACAAACACAAAAAATGAGGAGATGGGATATGGGCAAACGAAGCAGGGGTAGACCAAGCACAGGCTACAAGGAGTAAGAGCCTAAACAGACGGGAGACGGGGACAGATCAGGATAATGTAGCTTTTTTCAGAGCATCCGAGCAAAGGAATAAATGGAGAACCATGATCGCCGATGTTTATCGCAGATCTGGCACTGAAGGTGATGATGATGATGATGATGATGCTGATGATGATGATGATGATGATGATGATGATGATGATGATGATGATAATGATGATGATGATGACTAGAGATGTTACTAGTGATAAACAAACACACAAAAAAGAAGGAGAGATAAGGTCTATAGATGTCCGATAGCAAAAAAGGAGCAGACCTCACCAGAGCTCCTGCCCACCACCCACATTTCATTTTCGAACACATTAATTAATCATCACTAAAACCAGTCCCGTAAAACAAAGACAAATTGAATGGAGCTATAATACTATGAAAGACGCTGACTTGCATCTCTATGACGACGGAAACGGTAGCCATAACAGAGACTATTTGTTTCGATTTTTAAAAAAAGAATCTATTTCTTTAATAACCCTGAAAGTCCAATTGTCAGAGGTATTAAAAATAGAATAAAAATCGATTTTGCTCTTTTTGAAAACTGTACATTTACATTTCGTTCGAAATATGTTAAAATCCATTTCAGGGAAAAACAAAGGGGGCTGGGGTGGGGGTGGGTTACCTTTTACATAATAGACCACAACCAACTACGACACCCTCATGTTCGCAGTTTGCACACTTTTTCAGCAGCGCAGATGAGAATTAATACCCCCCCTCCCCACCTTCCAACCTAAGGTTTACCTTTAGTTGGGGTTTTACGTTACTTGCAACACAATAAGGTCATTTAGTTTTAGCAAAGAGTTTAGTTCAGTTTAAGTTTTAGCAAGAGTTTTACGGCACTTACAACACAATAAGGTCATATAAGTGCCGAAGATTAGAGGTGTTACAAGAGAGTAACAAACACAAAAAAGGAGGAGGGAGAAGGAAGACAGTGGTAAAGAGTCTTACGGCACTTGCACAAAAAGAAACACCAACAATAAAAAAGAGGAGAGATAAGGACGATAGACGTTTACTAGGAAGGCCACCTCTATTCGGACTCGAGTCCCAAAATGGGTTTTATCTTTTCGGACTCGGGTCCCAAAAGAAACGCTTTATGTATTCGGACTCGGCTAGTGAGTAGGTGAGTAGAATGTTACATAATAGAACTGTCGTCAGGGGATTTTAGATAAAACTAGAATTGGAACTAGAATTACTTATAAATACCAGGACTGTGAAACTGTGTCAAAAATCAAAAGACTGTACTCTCATTGCCCAATGGCAGTGTCTACGTACACAGCAACCGACAACTCTGGGTCTTTTTTTTTTGTAAGTGTTTTACGACTCTCGCAACTGCATAAGGTCATATATGCGCGCGGGACACACCTAATATTTTCAGTTGATAGAAAATTTTGAATTAGGCCCGGGTGGCGGCCGAAGCCTACTCGTATCGATTATAGACCACCAAGGAATCTTTAAACGTACGCAACTTGCACATGGAGCCCCGGAGATTTTTCGCCCTTGTCCGAGAAAGCTAGGTGTAGAGATCTTTCTTACCAGAAGATCAGGAGTGTGGCTGAAAGACAGCAGTAAGAAGGAGCCAAGGAGTAGCAGTAGAAAGGCTGCAGGAAGAGTCAGGAACCCAGAGGAGGGGGCAAAGGAGATGAGGGGATGGGGGTAGAAAGAGGAGACGAAAGCAGAAGACAGAACATTGCTAGATAGCAGGAAAGGAGGTGAAAGGAGGCAATTTTAGAGAAGAAAATGTTTCGGTCGCTAACCGGATTCGAATCCAGGACCTTTGAAAGAGAGGCGAACACCTTAAACTCTAGGCCACGTGATTCCCCTACTCAGGGTCCAGGGTCTACATACACGGTAACCAGCCCCGGGCACCACTACCAGTCAACAGCATCATTATTACTTTCACCACCACTACAGCATCATCATTACTTCCACCATCACTACAGCATCATTATTACTTCCATCACCATTTGCCTTTTACACATGTTAAATTTCATGTTGTTGTGTGTTATAGTTTTTCTGAAATTAATTTTTTTTTCCGAAATTAATTTTTTTCCCACATGGCACAAAATCGACCGCCTTGGCATTTTCCCAACCCCTCTTCCCCCAAGCAAGCCGAGAGTGCGCGATCTCATGGGTCAACATTTTTAACTTTGCCCCCGGCAAGATCTACTCAACTTGGTTGTTCTGTTCATACTAATGGTGCTGGGAAGGCCAGTTTAGATAGATCTAGTACCTGAATATTAAAGCTCATGTCTCGATTGCTATCATTATTGTCGAAATTGTTTTCATAAATGCTGGACATATTTAGGAGCAAGGGTCGGAAGTGACGTCATGCTGGACTCCATTCAGAGTCCGAATGAAATTTTTGTTTAATCAGAATGGAGTCCGAATAGTCACTTCGTGATAGGAATGAAGGAGCAAACCATGTCATAGCACCCACCAACCACCCACAAAATTTACTTTCATGGCATAGTGTACATTACCAGTAAAGTCAGAGTAAGAATTGATTCATAAGAACTGTTTTTATTAGAAACGGTAACGACATTTAGTGCCATTTTGGGTAGAAAACGGAGAACAAGATTTTGTGCGTGTGTGTGTGGGGGGGGGGTTGTTCGTTCCTT